AGCGCAGTTGCGCCATAAGATATCTCATGTGCACAAGGATATTGTATATACTCACATGTAAGTATCTTCATGTATAAATTGTGGCCAAGTTTTGAGGCCAAAATGTTGGATTTTGACACCCTCTATGTGACTCCTACAAGCATTTTGTACCCAAGCATTCAAAAATGGCATAAATAATGCTGTGGTTGAGAGTAGAGAGGGTCAGTACTTCTTTTAGATTCTCCCAGGATGGAAAAGCTCTCACTTTTTCTCACGCTACAAAGAGAGATGGGCTTTTAAAAAAAGAACTAGGGTACCCTACTTACATTGACCTGTGGATAAGTATACCCAGGATTTAGGGGGTTGATTTTTTGACTAGGATTTCTAGACTTATACATGAGTCCCCATGTATAAGGGTCCCCAAACTAAGTCCTGAGGCCTGAATGAGGCCCTGCAAGGTCATTTGCCCCACCCATGCCCTAAACTTTAGTCTCAGGGCCACCTTAAATCTGAAACAACTTTTTTTTTGTCGTGTCAGGAGCGACTTGAGAAACTGCAAGTCACTTCTGGTGTGAGAGAATTGGCTGACTGCAAGGACATTGCCCAGGGGATGCCTGGATGATTTGATGTTTTTATCATCCTTGTGGGAGGCTTCTCTCATGTCCCCGCATGAGGAGCTGAAGCTGACAGAGAGAGCTCATCCGCCTCTCCCCGTATTCGAACCTGGGTTTAACCCACTGCGCCACCGGAGGTACACAATAACAGCAATCATAATTAACTTGACTATCTCATCAGCTCAAGGCAGTCCACACTTATTTATTTACTGTATTTGTATACCGCCTTTCTCAGCCTGCAGACGACTCAAGACTGTTTACAGGCAACAATTCGATGCACACAATATCATAAATACAATTAAAAACATTAATATATAATATAAAACCACAACAAATTAATAAAAACATAAACAACTAGTGTCTCCTTGTTAAAAACATTGTCTGGTTCCATCATCTAGTCGTTTCATTTTCTTATGTCAGTTACTCTGCATAGGAACGCTTGCTCAAAAAGCCATGTCTTGACCTAGGGAGGGTGTTCCATAGCCGAGGGGTCACCACTGAGAAGGCCCGTCTCCCATCCCTGCCAGACATATTTGTGACGAAGGCGGGATCGAGAGCAGGCCCCCCTCAGATGATTTTAAGGCCCTAGATGGTTCATAAGGGGAGATGCGTTCAGACAGGTAAGTAGGGCCAGAACCATTCAGGGCTTTATCTGGCGCAACAGAGGAATTGTATGCTCCCCGAGCGCCGCTCCTGTTAGCAATCTGGCTGCCAACCGTTGCACCATTTTAAGCTTCCGGACAGTCTTCAAAGGCAACCCTATGTAGAGCATGTTGCAGTAGTCTTCCCACTGAAACACTGGTAAGTTTATATTGACTAAATTGTTCTTCATTTTAAATATTGTTTTGCTCCTCCTTTGTTCATTATTTTTTCAAACTATAGTTTCTCCTCCCAACCAGGAACCCAGCTTAAAAACTTTGCAGACACCTGACATAGAGTTTTATTTTTAAGATGCCATTTGACTGTTAGTTGGGTAAGGAGAAAAGACCAACACAGCCATGTCAGCATTCAGTAATTGCTAGTTTCATGTAGCTGTTTCTCTTGGCATGGGTTTTCTGATGTAAAGTCAGGCTGGCACTTTGACTGAAGCTCTTCCCACACTCTGAACAGGTGTACGGTTTCTCTCCAGTGTGGGTTCTCTTATGTTTGACAAGGGTGGACTGGTCGTGGAAGCTCTTGCCACATTCGGAGCAGGTATATGGCTTCTCCCCTGTGTGCATCCGTTGATGAAAGCTAAGGCTTCCATGGTGTCTGAAACACTTCCCACACTCTGTACATTTATAGGGTTTCTCCCCGGTGTGGATGATCTGGTGTGACTTGAGGTGGGCACTCCGACCAAAGCATTTCCCACACTCCAAGCACTGATATGGCTTCTCCCCGGTGTGGATTATCTGGTGTGCCTTGAGATGGGCACTCCAACGAAAGCATTTCCCACATTCAGAGCACTGGTACGGCTTCTCTCCTGCGTGGATTATCTGGTGTGACGAGAGATGGGTCTCCTGACCAAACGATTTACCACACTCCAGCTTCTCCTCTTTTTGGCTCCTTGGATGCTTCATCTTACCAAGATCTGAATTCATACACTGTCTCTCATCTGCAGGAATACTTTGATTCCGGTATATGTAGGAACTCGTCCCTTCATAAAGCGTTTCACATTCAGTAAAGTTTCCACTCTGATTGAAGGTTTTTGCAAACATTAAATCTGATTCATCCTCAGAGTAAATTCTACTATGAACACTGGGGAAAGCAATCCCCCTTTTTTCTGTTTCTTGCTGGACTGAGATTTCATGGGAGTCTCCCACCTGAAATGGGAAGGATTTGGCTTTCAGCTCCTTCATCTGGCTTTCATATTGGCTCACTGGCCCATTTTGGCTCCAAACAGTCTCCTTGAATGCTTCACCCTCTGTTCTTTCAGAGGAATCCTCACCTAGTTGCCCCTCATTCTCACTTTTACATTCATCACCTGTTGAAAATAAAGCAGAAGGCAAATTAAGACCTATTCTCACAATGCCACCAGGAAGCTTCCCAGGAAGGATCAGGGGAACAAGACACAGTGGTTGCTCCCAAGTCTTTGGAAAGTCTTCCCTGCAAAGTTAGGATCATCCTTCCTTGCTTTCTTTTCATTGACCAATGAAAATTGTATAGTCTGAAAAAGTTTTTGAATTTTGAGTAGGAGCCCAAAGAGAAATTGAACCCTATGCTGTTTTCCTATCCCCCCCCCCTTTTCTTTTGTTCCTCGCAAAGAATCAATTTCCGTGGTTCAACAAACTTCATGTTTATTTACTCAGATTATTTCCCTTATACAGCTCCTTCATCGGGTACAACAACAGTCACTGACACACACACACCAAGAATTATGACAAAGGTACAAGAATGTGCCACAAACTAAGAGTGCAACTCTGCCCTCCCGACTTCTCGGGAAATGTGGAGTGCGCTTCTCTGGAAGTTTTTTAACAGAGGTGGGATGGCCATCTGTTGGAATGCTTGGCATGGCAGAATGGAGATGGACTGGATAGTCCTTGCGGTCTCTTCCAACGTGATTCTCAACCTTCCTAATGCCACAACCCCTTAATACATGTTGTGGTGACCCCCAACCATTAAATTATTTTCATTACTACTTCATAACTGTAATTTTGCAACAGTTATTAATCATAATGTAAATATCTGATATGCAGGATGTATTTTCATTCACTGGACCAAATTTGGCACAAATACTTGATACGCCCAAACTCGAATACTGATGGGGTTGGGCAGGAATTGATTTTGTCATTTGGGAGTTGTAGTTGCCGGGATTTATAATTCACTTAAAACCAAAGAGCATTCTGAACCCCATCAATGATACAATTGGGCCAAACTTCCCACACGGAACCCCCATGACCAACAGAAAATACTGTGTTTTCTGATGGTCTTTGGTGACCCCTCTGACACCTCCTTGCAACCCCCCAGGGGTCCCAACCCCTAGGTTGGGAAATGCTGGGTTAAAACATTTGTGCTGGCTGAACTGCTGACCTGAAGGTCACTAGTTCAAATCTGTGACAGGGTGAGCTCCCCTCTGTCAGCTCAAGCTTCCCATGCGGAGACATGAGAGATGCCTCCCACAGGCGTCCCCTGGGCAATGCCTCTGCAGATGGCCAATTCTCTCACACCAGAAGTGACTTGAAATTTCTCAAGTTGCTTCTGACATGATTTAAAAAAATTATCTTTCTAGGCATTTGCTAGATCCTCCAGTGTAATTCTATGGTATGTATCCCCTGGAAGTTTTTGAACTTTGATGGCCAGAACTGGATACAATAATCTAGGCTAGGATTGATCAAGGATGATGACAATTTTCAGGCCAAGGGTCTGCCTGTGCAGTCCCTTAATTTACCCCAGGAAAGGCAAATCTTTGGTGTTCCAGATACTACAACTTTGAATCCCCTTTGGCAAAGCATTAAAGGAGCTTGGAGCCCGATGTTCCTTGCAGACTATCCAAAGTTCTGAGGGAAGGCCCTAGTAAGGGTGAGGACCATTCCAGACAGGCCCTAGATCCTGGGATCTGATCCCAGATTTTCTGTTTATCCCAGATTATCCACCAGTGCGGATTCATAGCATCCAGTTTAAAGCAGAAAACCTGGGATCAGATCCTGGGATATGGGGCCTGTCTGGAATGGTATGCAAAAATAGCCACAGTGTTGTAGTTAGTCTAGGAAGAACATCTCATAATTTAAGGACACAAACAGCCCATTCTTCTTACCCAAGGGTCTAACATCCCTGTCGTCATTTTCCTGTTTGGTCTCCACACTAAATGTCTTCTGCTCCATCTCAGGCAGGGCTTGGACACCTTCAGGGGAACCCACCGTCTCCTCTTCCTCTAACAGCACCTAAAATATTTATCACTTGTTTTTCAAATGTATATCTTAAGTACATGGCTTTCCTCTGCTCTACACTGTCCTCAAAAGTATTTGTAATGGAGGTCAAGGCCAGATAAAATAACAATGAGTTTCATGGTCCAGAAGGGACTTGAACCCAGCTCTCACAAGTCCCAATCCCACATTAAACCTTCTGCCTGGCCATTAGATGGGTTTGCATTTGCTCTTTGCATGGCACTCCTCACTGCCACTGTATTTCAACGTTCCCTTAAATTAATAACTCAGTATGCCTTATTTCCTCATGAGCATTTTAGGGCAATTTTGCCATGTTTAAAAATAAACTTTTTTAAAACCACAAAGTAAGCTGAGAGTTTAGAATCTTTTAGAGTTGAAGCCAGATTAAAAACCTAAAATTATTCAGGTTCAACAACTATACAAGGTGTGAAAAAAGAGTTGAGAGAATGAAATTTTTCAAGCTGTTGAAACTTCTACCCGTACTGAGCCTACAGGATTAATACAGTGTGAACTACACATGATTGAGACAATGAGCGGTCCTCACCTGGTTTGCCTGCCTCCTGGCCTCTCCCTGCTTCTGGAGGAAGTCCTCCGCCAAGGCCACCGCCTGGGAGCAAGTCTCTGGACCATATTCCTTGACCCAGGCCTCTATCTCTGGAGGCAGGACGGCCAAGAACTGCTCCAAGATCAGCAGCTCCAGGATCTGCTCCTTCGAATGCCTTTCAGCTTTCAGCCACCGGCAACACAGTTCCTGAAGCTGGCCATAAGCCCCTCTTGGCCCCTCAGCCTCCCGGTAGCAGAAACGCCGGAAACATTGCCGCTGCTGCTCCCGCCACATGGCGTCCCTGTGCAAGATGGCGGCCTTCACTTTCCCATAATCCTCCCTGCCTTTGGCCTCCAGGCTGGTGAAGGCCCACCTGGCCTCTCCGCTCAATGCTGGCAGGAGCCGGGGCACCCACTCTTCCTTCGGCCACCGGCAGGCTTGGGCCACTTGCTCAAAGGAGGCCAGGAAGGCTTTGGTGTCGTCCCACGGCTCCTCCCTTGATTCAGAGGTTCCCAAGCTTGGGTGAGGGCCTTCCACGCTCTTCAGGAACTCTTGCCATTGGGTTTCCCATTGCCGAAGCGAGTCTTTGTTGGGCTCCTCTTTCACCTCCGTTGGTCTCCTTGGCAGGAATGCATCCATCATCTCAACATGACAGCTTCCTCTCACTTCTCGTGACACCTGCCCTGATATATTACTTGTAAGAGCTTCATGGGTCTCCATTTTCATCCTTGGACAATAATGTCTATTGTGTTTTAACTTTAGTCTCAGGTATTTTATTATATGTATATTTTAAAATGCTTTCATGTTTGCATTCTAACTATGTTTTAATATGTGATGCGATGTTGTAGATATATGCATCTTTTGGATATATGTTGTACCCTGCCTCGATCTGAAGGAGAGGCCAATAAATTATTATTATTAGTAGTAGTATTATTGTTATTATTATTATAATAATCTGAAACTGTGAAAAATTCTAGAATCTATCATAGCAGTCTAAACATCCGCATGGAGATTTCTGCCTGGAAAATAGGAAGAAAATAATATTACAAAACATTCACATCTTTAATGTTTTTAATGCATATTTATAACTATTTTATTGTATATATGGTTGTTTTTATTATGTGTTTACATCATATTGGCATTGAATTGTTGCGTATGGAAGCCACTCTGAGTCCTTCCTCGGAGGTTGAGAAGGACGGGGTATAAATGTTCTGAATAAATAAATAAATATTTTAAGAGGAAGAGTTATGAAAACAAAGATGCAAGACCAGAAGGGAACTGGCTGTTGAATAAGTAACCATTTAGTGAAAAAAAGTCTAGACCAAGGGGCCAGCTGACACCTCTCAACAAAGGATTCCCCCAGGTAGGAAGCAGCCAGGCTTTGAAGCTGCAAGGCCATTCAATGCTAACCAAGGTGGCCCATTCCAACATTCCTACTTCCCTCAAACAGACAAGGGTTCTTTCTCCCACCCTGGGCATTATTCCAAAGATAGATAAACCCCACTTTCCTAGTTTCCAACAGGCTCACAACACAGATGTGGGGGAAACGTCAGGAAAGAATGCTTCTGGAACATGGCCAGACAGCTCAGAAAACTCACTTTATCCCTGTAATTCAGGTCAGGAAAACCTTCCACAACACATTAAATAAATCCAAGAGTTCCGGCTCAGATGTTTTTCCTTTCCCTCCAAAGAAAGAAAAGCCAAAGGCAGGAGTTCCCCAAGAAGCTGCTTTTGGAGGAGAAGCCCAACCAGGAAGAAACACTGCCGGAAGTCCTCTCTAGCCACCTGTAGTTCCAGATCTCGACGGTTTACCTTCTAGCAGCCATTGGTTCTCCAGGCTTTTGGACTGGAACTGCAGGTGGCTAGAGGGGACTTCCGGCCGTGTTGTGTTTTGCCCGGATGTGGGCTGTGTCCTCCTCTTCCTGTTTGGGCTTCTCCTCCAGAAGAGGCTTCTTGGGGAACTCCTGCCTTTGGCTTTTCTTTCTTGGAGGATTTTGGAGGAAAAGAACAAAGATTTCAGCCTGAATTCCTGGATTTAGATGGAAGGAACTGGAGGGATGGAGGTGAGTGAAGGGGAAGGAGAGGAAAAGAAAAGCAAATCGAGTCTGATGGGAATTTTTTCCCTTCCTTCCTGGTTAGTATTTATTTATTTACCGCATTTGTATACCGAGAGGCAGGGCCTTCTCTGTAGTGGCCCCTCAGCTGTGGATCTCCCTCCCTTGTGAGATTCGATCTACCCCATCCCTCCTGGTCTTCTGGGGAAGGAATGCACTTCACACTCCTGACACTGCCCTGACTCCATGTTGGGTCATCCTGGGAATGGCAGTTTCACAAGGGAAGTCTGACTTGGCCACGGTGGTCCACGCTTTGGTTACATCCCGTTTAGACTACTGCAACGCTCTCTAGTGGGGTTGCCTCTGAAGACTGCCCGGAAGCTGAGCTAGTCCAACGCTCGGCAGCCAGACTACTAACGGGCGCTGGGTACAGGGAGCACACCACTCCGCTGTTACACCAGCTCCACTGGCTGCCAATTAGCTTCCGAGCACAATTCAAAGTGCTGGTGTTAACCTATAAAGCCCTAAACGACTCCGGCCCTGTTTACCTCTCCGAACGTATTCTCCCCTATGAACCATCAAGATTATTAAGATCGTCTGGAGAGGCCCTGCTCTCGGTCCCACCGGCCTCACAATCTGGTGGGGACGAGGGACAGGGCCTTCTTGGTGGTGGCCCCTCGACTATGGAACTCTCTCCCACTGGAGATCAGAACCCCCCCTTCTATCCTGACATTTAGGAAACAGGTGAAGACGTGGTTATGGAGACAGGCATTCGACGAGTGAGCCAGTACCCTGAGATATGGATGGAGGATGATGAACAACGATTTTAGTGTGACGACTGACCATTGTAGTTATTGAATGTAATTGCTGTTTTAAGGTTTTACTGTAATATGAATTATGATGTTTTATTGATTGTATGTGATATTATGGTTGGAAACTGGTCTGAGTCCCTCAGAGAGGTGAGAAGGTCGGTATATAAAACTTTTAAATAAATAAATAAATATTCCCTTCTCTGGTCTCTTTTCGTAGGGACTTCAAGACCTGGTGGTTTCATCGGGCCTTTGAAAACGATTAGTCTCCATCTTTATTTATTTTATTTATTTATAGCATTTCTACCCCGCTCTTCTCAACCCCCCGGGTTTTTGTTAGAGCGGCTAACAAAAAGGCAACAATTCGATGCCACAATCAATAACACAGTATAAAACCATAAATACATACAAAGTTAAAACAATAGCAATTAATTAACCAAATTATCATAACAGTCATTAAAACAATACGCAGTCCACAAACCCACTGATAGAACAATAAAACCGTATCCTCATACATATCGTCTTGCCAGTCTATTTCCAATCAAAGTGCTGCTTTATGTTTATTGTCCGGAAGCCTGGTCCCAAAACCAAGATTTTAATTTCTTCCTGAACGCCAGGGGGGATGGAGTCAATCGTATTTCATTTGGAAGCAAATTCCACAGGCGGGGGGCTACAGCCAAGAAGGCCCTGTCTCTCGTCCCCACCACCCGCGTTTGCGATGTTGGTGGGAGCGAGAGCAGGGCCTCCCCAGATGATCTTAAGTTACGAAGTGGGATGTAGAGGCAGATGCGTTCGGACAAGTAAGCTGGGCCAGAACCGTATAGAGCTTTATAGGTCAAAACCAGCACTTTGAATTGAGCTCAGAAGTGGACAGGCAGCCAGTGGAGCTGACACAACAAGGGGGTGGTATATTCCCTGTATGTAGCTCCTGTTAGTAATCTGGCTGCCGCTCGTTGGACTAACTGCAATTTCCGAACTGTCTTCAAAGGCAGCCCCATGTAGAGTGGCCCCGTTTATCAGTTAGGGCCCAGCCTTGCACCTTACCAATAATAATAATAATACTTTATACCCCACCACCATCTCCCCAAGGGACTCGGAGCAGCTTACATGAGGCCAAGCCAAACAACACATCAATAAAAAACAACAAGCAATAAGCAAAATAATACAATTAAGATAACTCACACATAGACAATAACACACAATGATTTAAAAACCTATGGCTGGGCCAGATGTAATAGTTAAAACTTTAAAAATAAATGCTGGACATGAACAGAGGATGGGTTTTAAACCCTCTAGTAGGAGGGTTTTAAACCAAAAGTAGAGAGCAACCCTACGGGTAATTAAAGTACTTCTCAGGATATTTTGCAGGGGATTGTTTCCTTTATTCAGGGAAGGCACACTAGAACAGCCACATTTTCAGGCTCCTCCTAAAGACTGCCAATGTGGGGGCTTGTCTGATATCCTTAGGGAGTGAGTTCCAGAGTCGGGGGGCCACCATAGAGAAGACCCTCCCCCTCGTCCCCACCAATCGTGCCTGCGAAAGAGGTGGGAACGAGAGCAGGGCCTCTCCAGATGATCGAAGAGATCGCGTGGGTTCGTACACAGAAATGCGGTTACCCATTCCCTGGTTCCTCTTCCATCTTGGGGTACTAGCCCTGGCCAGACCTTTCCTAATAATTGTCAGTAGGACCTGAAATGAGTAGCCCCAGGTCCTACCCTGGTTAGTATTTATTTATTTACCACATTTGTATACCGCCATTTTCAGCCAGAGGTGACTCAAGGTGGTTCACAGTCGGCAGCGATTCAATGCCATAATAAATATCAAAATACAGTTAAAACAATTATAAAAACAATTCAACATTTAAAATGTAATATAAAAGAAACAATAATATATGTAAAAAACAAAATCCTCGGCGTCTCCTTACTAAAATAGTTGTCCAATTGCATTGTCAGTCGTTCCATATATTCGTTTTCGTCTAATTATGCTCCAGTAGTAAAAGCTTGCTTGAAGAGCCAGGTCTTAACCATTTTGTGGAAGGTCAAAGGGGAGGAAGCCAATCTTATATCCCTGGGAAGGGTAGTCCATAGCTGAGGGGGCACCACTGAGAAGACCCTGTCTCTCGTCCCCACCAAACACATCTGCAAGAAAGGCAGGATCGAGAGCAGGGCCTCCCCAGATGATCTTAAAGTCCTAGATGGTTCATAAGGAGACATATGTTCGGATAGGTAAGCCGGAACGGAACCGTTTAGGGTTTTATAGCCAAAGCCAGCACCTTGAATAGTGCCCGGTAGCAAACTGGCAGCCAATGGAGCTGGCACAACAGAGGAGTCGTGTGCTCCCTGAGCGCCGCTCCCATTAGCAACCTTGCTGCCAATCGTTGGACCATTTCAAGCTTCCGGACAGTCTTCAAAGGCAACCCCACGTAGAGAGCATTGCAGTAGTCTATACGGGATGTAACTAGAGTACCACTCTTTGCACTTTATCCATTTCCCAGCCTGTATTAGTACCACATGAGCCTGACCCAGCTCTTTCAAATTGTCTAGGCTCTCAGGAAAGTCAGACCATTGGTAACTTATTTTGCACAATGGAATAATGGTGGAATTGGTTTGGTTTAATGTATAGGATTGTGTAAATAGTTTTATGCCTATGTTTTTAAATGGTTTCTCTGTATGTTTTTTGTGTGCTTGCTTATGTTATTAGTTTCTGGGCACAATTCAAAGTGCTGGTCTTAACCTATAAAGCCCTGAACAGTTTCGGCCCAGTTTACCTGTCCAAATGTATCTCCCTCTATGTACCACCAAGGACCTTAAGATCATCCTGCTCTCGGTCCACTGCCACTGCAGTCACTTTTGGTGGGGATGAGAGACAGGGCCTTCTCTGTAGTGGCCCTTCAGCTGTGGATCTCCCTCCCTTATGAAATTAGATCTGTCCCATCCCTCCTGATCTTCTGGAAGAAACTCAAATCCTGGCTGTGGGATCAACGTTTGCAGAATAGACTGATTTACTGGTGAAGATAAGGTTTTAGTGGACTGCTATGGGCTGATTTGGATGACGATTTGAATTGGCAAACTGTTTTAATGTATATTTATAACTGTTTTTAATGTATGCTAATTGAATTTTATGTTATGTTATTAGATTGTGTCGGCATTGAATAGTTGCCTGTTGGAAGCCATCCTGAGTCCCTCTTTGGAGGTGGGAAGGATTGGGTATAAATGTTATAAATAAATAATGTGGAAACTGCCCAGAGTCCACTAGGGGAGATTGAGCAGTATATAAAGAAAGTTCTTCTTGTTGTTGTTATTAGTATTAGTATTATTCTCTGCCAAATAATGCTGGTGCCTCCCCAAACCACAACTGCCCTGATGCCATAGCATTGAGTCTGGCAGTTAAAGGGGGCACCGAACTGCATTCATTCGCCAATGTAGATGCCCCATGAGTTATTGTGACCAGTTTAATTCCATTTTAATTTCATTCCACATAAAGTGTACTTTCTTCATGTTTTTATTTGTCTGGCTTTTTTGCGTTGTGTCCCAATTGTGGGAGGAAAAGAGGGATAATAAATACACAAATGAACAAGTTAATGTATTCCTGAGCATTAGACACCAAGGTTAGATTTGATGGGAGTTGAGATACAGTAGCAGCTGGAAGAGTGCTACAACCTCACAACCTCTGAGAATGCTTGCCAGAGATGCAGGCGAAACGTCAGGAGAGAATGCTTCTAGAACATGGCCATACAACCCGAAAAATCTACAACAACCTAGCCTTTGACAGTACATGGAAGACTGCTGCTTACTCTGTCTAGTCAAGATAATGGGGTTGGATTTAGAGAGAAGGCTTGTGGATATGATGCCCAATGTTAAAATGCCCTGCAAACTTTCCCCAACCTCAGAGCCATAAGTGCTGTTGGGCTGCTATTAACTGGTCAGAGTTGTCATTCAATAACATCTGGGGACCCAAACCAGATAAAAACTAAAGAGCATCATATACTATGTAAAAGAATTATAGCTGTCCCTCTGTATCCACAGATTCTACATCCATGATCCAATGGCCCTTTGAAGGGAGACATAAGGCTGGCGAGGCTTTTGATTAAAATAGGCTTGAGACTCCCGGTCACTTGCTTTCGTCACTCTTCCTCTTTAAAATGTGTACGTTGGGTAATCTTCTTTTTTCTTCCAGTTTTCCAGGTAAAAAGCTCCAGA